ATTATAGTAACTCAACATGTTCACAATATTATCAGACAACCATAATTTTGTCTCTTTTACAGGTTAAACGTCACTTGTTTTACACATATTCTGGAGCTCTATGGCTGATGTTGCTCGTAGTGTTGGCGGGAGCTCTCATTTGCCACGATGTATGGATGCTGGAGCTCTCATCTGGCATGATGTATGGATGCTGGAGCTCTCATCTGGCATGATGTATGGATGCTGGAGCCCACACCTGGCTGGATGTATCGTTGACAAAAAAAAAATCAGTGATTTTTTGTATATACAGTACATCTATACATATATAAATATATGTATATAAATATATATGGTAAAGTTAAATACATATGAAATCAGCAGTTACCTGAACATACTTGCAACGACAATAATTTATAACAGAGATTAATATTTCTAGTTAGTACTGAAATGACTAAATGGCTCTAACAACAGGATAACTGGAATCATTGCTGACTAAAACCATTGTATTACCCAAGCCATGGTTGAGTGAAACCGTTGGGGCTGATTGGACCTATAGTCTAGTAAGGGCTAGTAAGGATTATGTCATAAGTAATCAGGGGAAAAGTGAAAGGAACGAAACTATGAAAAATAACTATTTAGAACTGGTGATAAGTGATGAAGGCGTGACGAATGGAAATTCTAAATTCCACAGGACGGTAGAAACAATAAGTAACTGAAACCAGTTAAAAAAAGACAGTATGATAAGATCAATTTTCAGGATGATCAATGCCAGAAAATATATGACAAACGTGAATGATCAGAGGCTTCAATCTCTCCTACTGGCGCTCAGCTGAATGGAACAGTCAACGGAAATGTTTGACTGAAATATAAATAAGCAGGAAACGTACACAAAAGACCGAACACTATATTGTGATTGGACAGAATTTGAAAGTAACAACAATTGATGGGCGGAGATCTCAAATTCAACGTAAATGCTTTCTCAGTGTTCTCCAGTAGCTCAATTACAGTGGTTCGAAATGTTTCGAAAGAATATTGTTCCCTTCTTTGCTTGACGCAAAATATGGGATAGAACAGAAAACTACATTTAAAAAAGATCAAATATTTTAGAAAATCGTTAACACATGGCAGTGTTTGATAGGTTTATTTACGGAAGTTCAGTGTGTAAAAGACAGGCATTTCTGACATACACAAATGCCGGCAAGAGCTCAGAGATACACGCTGACTGAAGTTTGATGGTCTTACGCCATACACAAGAAAGTACTGACTGGGTCGCAGAGGTAAAATGTGGAAAACAGCCATGTTTGGCAGCTCCTTACCCGCAGGCTGAGCCCCAGAGACCAGCGTAACTGTTGGAGGCGTTTACACGTTATCAAGTACCGTTGGCTCCGTTAACAGTAATAAAATACCAGTGTGGAAGTAAAGACATTAAATATAAGGTTGTAAATAAATGTATGGTTGAAATAATGGCATTAAGTATAAGTTGGAAATAATGACATTAACCATTATGATGAAATGAAGACTTTAAATATAACGATTGAAATAAAGGCGTTATTTGTACGTGTGAAATAAAGGCATTAACTGTAATGTTGAAATAATGGCATTAACTGTAATGATGTAAGATGAGAGTGAGTGTCGTTTGCTTGCGTTAATGTTGTAGGGTAATGACTCGGTAGGTAACACTCGCATCCCCACTAACTGGCTTACTCTTACACATCCCCATTAACTTGCATTAACTCTTTCACTACGTTACCCACACTCGACCTCAGGCCATAGGTAGTACTTCTTCATCCCACGTACAAAAAAGAACCACTCATACCCACATAGACTAAATCATGTTCTTTAAGTACAACAATATATATATTTTTAGGACAATAAAGTATGGAGATATAATTCAATAAAGTCAGTGAAACTTTGTTCTGAAGATGACAGGTTTGCTCACTTCCCTGTCGACAAGTTGGGTTTTATTCTTCGGGTCTTTTGCAGCTTATAAATGAAAGGTTATTTCCTAATGCTTTCTTTCTGATTATATTAATCTGTAAATTGCTTCGTTGTCGGGATATTTGTCAGTGTTTGATCTTTTGTGTATTGACCGAAGCCCGAGTTCTTGTCTGATTTATTTTACATCTGGTTTGTCTTTCTTTCTTTCCTACCCCCCCCTCCTCCTCTTCCCCCTTCTCTCTCTCTCTCTCTCTCTCTCTCTCTCTCTCTCTCTCTCTCTCTCTCTCTCTCTCTCTCTCTCTCTCTCTCTCTCTCTCTCTCTCTCTCTCTCTCTCTTGTGTTGGTCATAGTGACGAGTGTGTAGTGGTGGTGACTGCCATGAGAATGCGGTGATAATAGTGATGAGAGTATGATGACAACAGTGATGAAGATGCTGTGATGACAGTGATGGGGTGAGGGTAAAATGTTGGGTCGTGTCTGGTACACCGTGATGAGCAGTGCTCGGTGAACAACGTATATAGTTATGTTCTCTCATGAACATATGATCAGAACTGTTCTGTTGTTTGTCCCTAACTTTACTTCTCAGTCAAGTCTTCAGTTGTTCTCTAATTCTCAGTCAACACTTAAGTTGTTCTTTAATTCTCGGTCAACACTTATGCTGTCCTCATTTCGCAGCATTATATGCTAAAGCACAAGAGTTAAACAAGAGCTTGAATTTCGGGCCGGAATTTCTAGCGTTAATACATATTTTAAGATGTTAATAATAAATCCTATTTTCAGTGTTGGAAGAACACGAAGCAAGTGATTTTTATCACTACGACTGAGTCTGTCAGTCAGCCATCACTCCAATGAAAGATTGCATCTTATTTGAAAGACAATTAAATCAGTATTGTGACGCATTTCGAGCAAAATTGATGTAATTTTAATTGAGGATTCAATCATTTTTTATGGATTTCTCATTGCCTGTTGCTTAAAAAACTCGTAAATTAGTTTGGGAATATCTATTGGATGATCAAACACCTTCCTAGTTCACTTTCTAACCAGAGTTGTACACATTGCCATTCCAATTTATTAAAAGTTTAGAAGTTTCTTTTGCAGCTTAGTTTGATTATTATAGTTTAAAATTTTGTTTAGAAACGCCTCACAACCTGTCCTCTTAAAAAGAACGTCGCTTTTGGCCGTTTACCCGTATGGCCTAATTTGGACGTAATTTGAAAATGAAAATAAATTTGGGATTTTTTTTTCAACAACAGTAAGTTAAGGGTCCTCTGATAGGTTAGGTGGGCAGGAAATTCTCATAAAATTTCAAAACGTTATGAAAAACGTGAATTGAAAGTCATCTATTCTAACCTTACAGAGTCGGCCGGATGACTCAAACAGAAAACGGAACAGTACGTCACTTTTGTGAGTCGATTTCATTTCAAATTACGTCCAAATTTGGCCATAGCGCGCATGCCAGCCAAAAGTGACGTTATTTTTAAGAGGACGGGTTGGTTTGAGGCCCTAGTGGAGGATGCCGTCTTAGTTTTAAGCCATGATAGCTTGCCGTCTTCATCTTGTATACTTGCCAGTAGCACCACAGCGCCCCGTCTCACCCTCTCCAGCCTCCTCAACTCCCAAAGTGTTCTTGGTGTTTAAACTGTATATAGCTGAGTCCTGTGCACAAATTAGAGATCAGGTAAATGTATGAGTTGTGTTAATGATTGTAACAGTTCACGTACCGCGCTTCTCTTATATCTCTCTCTCTCTCTCTCTTCTCTCTCTCTTCTCTCTCTCTCTCTCTCTCTCTCTCTCTCTCTCTCTCTCTCTCTCTCTCTCTCTCTCTCTCTCTCTCTCTCTCTCTCTCTCTCTCTTTTATCTATTTTCCTATTAATGGAGACTATGGAGACAAATATATATATATATATATATATATATATATATATATATATATATATATATATATATATATATATATATATATATATATATATATATATATATTGCTATTTATTCTGGCGTTTCCTCCTATGTTCTCATTCTTCATTACCTTCTGAAGTTTTTGTTCTTCAGTTTCATGATGAACATCACTAAAGAGCTTTCAACTTGTCAAATATTAAAATAATGTTTGTTAATTTGTTTAATAAAGTGTCGGATGAAAGGAGAGATAGGTTGATAGATAAATAGAGGTAGATGGTAGAGTGTTAGGTAGAGGTAGATGGTAGAGTGTTAGGTAGAGGTAGATGGTAGAGTGTTAGGTAGAGGTAGATGGTAGAGGTAAATAACAGAATTTGAGTGAGAGTGAATGAAAATTTGAAAGACGATTTCGTTCATTCATTTGTCAAACATACCATTTTGTTGAGATATTGTTTGCACATCAGAAAATTTATGATAAACGATTTAAACCACATATAAAAAGTAAATAATTGTTTTGGTTTACTGTTCTTAGAAAACAGTTTTATTCAGATTATTTCCATTTGATTATTAGTTGAGAATAAGATGACCGAGTAATGTGTATTTCATGTGGTTCTTAAATTGACCCCTTGAGTCGGATTCACGAAGCCCTTGTATGTTCACTTACGAAGTCTGTATCTCTTATCTCAATCATGGTGGTATTATCAGGCTTTTGCTTAATAGTTTATGAGCTTTGAAGTGCTATGAAAACACTCGTTATAATAATAATCTTCAGGTAAGGATGTGCTTTGGAGCACTTAAACTGTTTACCTAACTCAGACTAAGCCGCCATGGTCGTGTTAAGAGGTGTAGATCTCGTAAGTGGACACGTAAGTGCTGTATTAATGCGGCTCCTCTTATCGTTGTTTTTCTTCAGAACAACACGCTGGGCGTCTCTAACCACTGTCCTCCAGTATGAAGATTTTCTGCACTTGTTAATGTGTCTCCAACTCAGTTACAACGGAGAACACTCGAATACGATCTTGGAGAAAACTGGAGAACAGATCTTAATATAGATTTAGCTAAGGTGATATAAATAGCGAGCGAAAGAGAAATACAGTAAATATGGAAATATAATAAAATATGAAGCCAGTTTTCTCACTGAATCACTCCACACATAATGTCATAACATGGTTCAAATGTTGTCCAGGAGAAGAATGAATGATTGGTGTTAATGTGATGAAACCTCTGGCGTTTGATCATCCGTGTTATAATAATCGTCTCCTGTATACCCAATGAGTTAGACCAAGCATGTAACTTTGAGAGCACTGTACCTTGCTTAGTCGTCATCCTTGTCTAGAATTCGGTGATATGATGGTGGCTCAAGGAATCCCGGAGACCGGAATATGTTCAAGGTTTTTAGCAAGGTTTTTGCAGACACTGCAATCAAGCATGAGGTATGCCTAAATCTTATACGTTTCTTGACTGGCGTGATTGAGTTCAGCACGTGGTTCTTCGCGGCCATTATATATAAATAATTTGCACATTTACTATATCCACTTCATCCCTAGACACTGACGTAGTTCTTATAGCCTCACACCAGTCATTAGTAGTATCACTTTTTCATCAACCACAGTCGATAGTATCTTGTTGTGCTTCAGGGCAGCGGATGTCTACTTCTGTGTAAGTAAAGGTTCAAGTATTCACGAAGGAAGGAATGAAATGGTCTTTTAGGGAAATATTTGGCTGATTTTGGAATGGTATGTAAGGGGTGATTGCCAGTCGACTTGTATTACCATTTACGCTTTCATGTGTGTAATGCAGCCAATCCTTTCCTTGAGCAGTGCTTTGCTCGCTCTCTTGTGTGCGGGTCGCACCTCTGTACGCAGCTCGTGTTCATAATCAACGGCAAAATGCTCGTTAATACTTCAGCTAAACCCTCGTTTTTTATGAAAAATGCTTTATACACGATCAAATTGTTCTCAAACGATGCTTCACCAACATTTGCAAATAATTTCCAACGTAACCAAAATACATGACTAACCTACGCTATGTACAAAGTTCTAATACGTAATAATAACAATAATTTTATATTGTTAGAAAACCGATTTTTTTTTCACACGTTAAAATCACTTAATGATTCATTTGGGATCGACAGCAGCGTGGAGGAGCTGCTTCAGGTTGGGTTGGCAGACAGTAACTGTCGTAAAGAATAACTGTGACAAGGACTAACTGAAGTAGTGACTGAAATAGCGACCTAAACAGTGAATGAGACAGGCTGACTATCTTGAGATGATTTCGGGGCATTTTCTTTTTTAGTGTCCCCGCGGCCCGGTCCTCGACCAGGCCTCCAACCCCAGGAAACAGCCCGTGACAGCTGATTAACAACCAGGTACCTATTTTACTGCTAGGTAACAGGGGCATAGGGTGAAAGGAACTCTGCCCATTGTTTCTCGCCGGCGCCCAGAATCGAACCCGGGACCACACGATCACAAGTCCAGCGCGCTGTCTGCTCGGCCGACCGGCTCCCTCCCTCTATCCTAACTAAATAAAAAAATTATAATGTAAAATATTATATATGAAAATTCACAGTACTCTAAATTTTAGGAATTCTTTGGGGTCGGCCGCCGCTTGAACGAGCCTAGTTTGAGAACAGGTTAGAGTGAGAGATATGCCACATTTATCGTGCTGTACGTACGTAATTATATTCCCAAACTAAGAACAGGTGATGCATAAAGAGCTCGATCTCATTTCTCAATAGTCACTATAACCTAGGGACTGTTATATAAGCACCATTACCTCCACCATCACAAATAGTGTCACCACCGTCATCATCACCATTAAATATTAGCACCACCAGCACTATGACTGCTACTACCTGAACCACCATCTGAACCTGCACCATCGCCACTCCCAGCAGTAGCGTCACTATCATTACCACCACCAGCAATAGCGTCACTATCACCACCACCAGCAGTAGCATCACTATCACCACCACCAGTATCGTCACTATCACCACCACCAGTAGCGTCACTATCACCACAACCACCAGTAGCGTCACTATCACCATCAGTATCGTCACTATCACCACCACCACCAGTAGCGTCACTATCACCACCACCATCAGTATCGTCACTATCACCACCACCAGTAGCGTCACTATCACCACCACCATCAGTAGCGTCACTATCACCACCACCACCAGTAGCGTCAGTATCACCAGCACCATCAGTAGCGTCACTATCACCACCACCAGCAGCAGTAGCGTCACTATCACCACCACCACAAGTAGCGTCACTATCACTACCACCACCAGCAGTAGCGTCACTATCACCACTACCACCAGCAGGAGCGTCACTATCACCACCACCATCAGTAGTGTCACTATCACCACCACCAGTAGCGTCACTATCACCACCACCACCAGTAGCGTCACTATCACCACCATCAGTAGCGTCACTATCACCACCACTACCACCAGTAGCGTCACCACCACCAATAGCGTCACTATCACCACCATCAGTAGCGTCACTATCACCACCACTACCACCAGTAGCGTCACCACCACCACCACCACCAGTAGCGTCACTATCACCACCATCACCAGTAGCGTCACTATCACCACCACCAGTAGCGTCACTATCACCACCATCACCAGTAGCGTCACTATCACCACCATCACCAGTAGCGTCACCACCACCACCACCAGTA